TGTTGCGACCAGAATACCTTAAATGTTCTGTTGCGACCAGAAGACCTCGAGGGTTTCTGTTGAGCCCTTCTGTTGCGGACAGAATACCTTGAGGGTTTCTGTTGAACCGAACAGAAGCGGAGCGGTTCTGTTAAGGACAGAACACTCTTCTGGTCCGGATAGGTCGCTCGCGCACATGAGTCGCGGTTTTTCTTCTCCGTTTTCGGGATTTGATCGGCACCGCCCCCCCTGCGCGCAAGAGAGTCTTTACCTTTAGGAATCTTAACTCCTTAAAAGAGGCTTCCCTTTATAAGGGGGTGAAAATCCATTGAGTTTTCTGTGGTATAAAACACATTAGAAACCCATCATTTTCCCAGTTTTTCCATTTCAACGAGTGAACTTCGAGAATCAATTTCTCATTCACCTGTTATCCGTTTTGAGCGTACCATATATCGAATTGTAGCCCTTAACAAGGAAAATCTGAAACCACTTTGACCCGACCCAAATCAGAAGTGGACCCACTCAAATAATTGCCCCAAAATGACCATTTAATGCAATTTTTAACACATACATTTTTCCAACAATCCCCCACATGAATGAAAATTGATTTTCGAGACTTAAAAAGGCATGAAGATAGGAGGACACGTTGTGCTCACCAGATGATCCTTGCATACGGAGAGGTAGGTTTTATCCTTTGAACCTTCCGCTGTAAAGACACGTTTATTTACTGGCTGTCTAGTAGACTCGATGTCCTTGAACTATACTGCCGTCGTGTAAACATTGACTTATCTTTACATAAGAACCTCCCAACTTTGTTCCGTTCTCATGGGTGTGCCCGTTTTGCCCATGGGTCACCGTCCTGGTTCTGCAAGAGTTTCTAAAGAACTGTGCCTTTACAGTTCTCCTTTGAAGCGGCCATCTTCTCTCTCACACAGGTGATTCTTTCACGAGTATCCCGCATACTCTTCCAATGTTATCGAGTAGATCAACATTTTAGAATCATTAAAGCAAACGTTTTTGCTAACCTCATGCGGGAGTCACTATTTTAACGAGGAGTGGGTAGGAGTTCGGGACCCCCACAGTGACCATCCTTCGCTCTATAATTTAGTTGTCCCTTTTGAACCTAGGACCAACTAGGTTGGGTATCCACTATAGAACTTGTTGGGGTATACTACCCTGGCCTGTTACTGTTCAGAGGCCCAAGGCTTCACCCGGTATGGACCCCAGTTGGCGAGGCCCATTTAGGCCCCTCGGGTCCATTTAGAGCCATTTAGGCCCACTCGGCCTACTTCGGGCTGTTTCGGCCCGTTAGGCCCATTAGGCTAGAAAGTCACCCCCCTCCCCTCTATAAATAGGAAGCTTGGCTTCCATATTACGGATCTACTTTTTCTCTCCCAGGGGAGCTTTCTCCCCCCCCCCCCCCCCCTCCATTTTACTGCTTCTTCATCATTCTAGTTTAGGAAGCTTATTCAAGCTCCATTGATGGAGGTTTCTATACTTGTATTATGTAATTGAGTGATGGGAAGGTAATAATGAGAAAGAGCGGGCTTGGACGTTAGCCTAAAAAATCCCGTAGTTTTCTCCCTTTCCGGGTTTCCACGTAAAAATAGCTAGTTCATACACTTTTATATATTTATTCATTTTTATACGGGATTTATCGTTCCTAATATCCGAAATTTATGTTGGGCTTCCGGATCTACGAGACCAAAACTCAACATTGACGTCGTCTGTAGGAATGTTGAGTTTTAGTCCTATTTAGGACAATTTATTCTTTTTATATTTGCGAGAGAAAATAAATATTAATCTCAATAAAAAATAGTTCAAATAGGACTAAAACTATGGTAAAAACTCAAAATAGGACTTGTTATGTTTTTTTTTATCAAAATAGGACCATATTAGTCCTATTGGAAACATACATATCTTTTCATCCATTCTTACCCTTCCTTTAAATATAAGTTAAAAATAGTCAAAAGCAATAATTAAATGTTTAATTCATAATAATTTTGAAAAAATTTCAAAAATTCGTATAAAAATAATTTAAATTTTTTTAAAATATTTATAAAATAAAAAATTCAAAAAAAATTATTTTTTTAAAAAAATTAACAAAAATAGTAAACCTTCATTGAAAAATTAATAAAAAATATGGATGCCTTTCCCACCGCCTGTACTACCTCCCTGCACCACCATCTCCGGCCGGTGAAAAATGTCATTTTTCCTAAAAACTAGCATTTTTTTTCTTCTGAAAATGCCAAAAAATGGCATATTTCTCTTTGAGAATGCCAACATTTTCATTGTTTTCTGTCATAAATATGGCATTCATAATGAATTTGGCATTTTTTCCCTGGTGACGGGAGGTGGTGGTGCAGAGGCGGTGATTTTTTTCTGAGTTTTTAATTTTTTTAAAAACCTTTTTTTTATTTTTTTTTCAAAAAAATAAATAAATTATTATCTAAATATTTTTATTAATTTTTTAGTATTTTTATGAGTTATTATTATTTTTTATTATTTTGTTATGAATTAAAACATTTCAATAGCTATAAGGGTATATTTGTGCAAGACACACATAATTAGTCCTTTGAAAACATAATTTATTTTTTGGTCCTATTTGTGCAAAGTGAGTGACTTTTAGTCCTATTTTGATAATTCCCTCTAATCTCATTTTTACCTTATAGAATATACTACCTCCGTCCCTTAAAACTTTGCCAAAGTTGACCGGCACGGAGAATAATAAAGTAAAAACTGTGTGGTTGAGATTTGTGCAGAGGAGAGAGAAAAAACAGAAACCACAAAACAATTGATTAAAGGGGAAAGTGGCAAAGTTTTTTGGGACGTCCCAAAAAGGAAAGATGTCAAAGTTTTAAGGGACGGAGGGAGTATACATTAATATTTTTTTCCCGAATTAAACAAAAAAACAGTAAATTGATGATGTATATACTTTTGTCTAGATTTTTTTTTAATTACAACGTAATAATTGTTAATGAAAAAGAATTAACTTTCATACACAACTTTCGAAAACAAAATTTCTGTAACGTTTATAGATAATATATCTAATCTTAGATAATATCTCATCTTATTCTACCCAATAAAACTGAAAATATATGAGTTCTCTCACCTATACTATAAACCAAGATATATTTATCCCTTCTATCTTTTACTTATTTTTATATTTTCTAGTATCTTGGTATCATTTTTACTATGTTATACGTTTGATTTTTCTCCCAAATCATAGTATCAATTTTTAAATAAATAATAGCATTTTTATAAACAACCGAAAAATTAAAACCAAATCATAATAAATAAAATCAACCAAACCGTGTTTTTCATGTTCTAAATAAATATTAAAAACACATTTTTTTGAAAAAGTATACATATATTTCCTATGACGTCTACTCATTCATGGCATTGAAGCATTTTATATTTTCAAGATACTTAGAAATAAATTCACATTTTATCTCATATACACCAGTGTATCTCTAAATATAAATATAGTTAGAAACTCATTAATTTAAAATGAGAAATAAGTCAAACAACTACAGTTTCGAAATTAAAAGTGCACGTACTCAAAGTTCTAGAATAATGAAAATAGAAAACAATATTTTAAAAGTTCTAATACATATTTTCGTTGGAACTATTAATTTTCAGGGATAATTATAATTAGGAATACGAGGATGAGTAAATTAGAGATGAGTGAATTAGAAATAGGCCCATTAGTTGTGTACCATATAAAAGCAAGGTAAAAATTATTTGTAGCTTTTCATTTTTTTAAGAATTTTATTATGTAAGTTTTGGGTGTTTTTTTAAAAGTTGATACGTGTATCTGAAATTTTAAAATAATTACCAAAAAAATGGAAACTTTTAAAAATTGCAGATACAGTCCAGAAATGTATGGTACAAATATCCTAGAGTATCGGATACGAGAACATTTCTAATACGTCGATACGGTACCCTAGTGAAGTATTCATGCTTCATAGTGAGGAATGATTACTATTTTATCATAGAGTATCCGATATAAGAACGTTTCCGATATGTCGATACGGTACCCTAGTAAAGTATTCATGCTTTATAGCGAGAAAGTAGTACTGTTTTATCATAAAGTATCCGATATAAGAACGTTTCGTCAATATTGTAAAATATACATGCTTGATAGCTTGAATGGAGTACCATTTTTGACGTTTGAATGAATTTGAGATATGATCCAGCAAGTCCAGATGGCCAAATTCCCACCGTTAGTGCCCGCCCGCGCACCCTATGCCTGTGTGACAATTCACCCAGCTACGCATTATTATTGAACCGTAAAGGATGGGAATGGATCGGATGCTCTACTTAAATGGACCATCTTATTTTATAATAATAATATTAAAATAATAATAATAATGCATATGATGGGATGAGGTGTTGCATGCATCAATGGACACTGGACCACATAAGACATTGATTTACTCCCCCACCACTCCCTTCCATGTCCCAATGCTCCCCTTAACCCAACACCTTAAGTGAGATTGGTTAATCTCTTAACTCACCCAATCTTAATCCCTTCTTTTCACATAAACATTCCTTCTCAACAACCAAGACAAGATCATTAGATCTTCCTTAAAAGCTTTACGATTTATGAAGCAATCACATAATGACTATTTTCTCAAATCTCTGAGAAATTAGACAATTAATTTGATGCATCCTGAAAAGAAATTACAATAGTTATTTTGATATGGAGGAAGTATATTATAAATCTAATTTAACTATTTCTCAGTACTCTCTCTATCCCTTATAATTTTACTTACTTTTCTGTTTTCGGTTGTTCAAAATTTTTTACAACTTTTCCTTTGAATCAATCAATTTGCGATTCCTGTTATTTCTATTTCTTTTGTACGAATCTGTACCGCACAATTTTTTATTTTATTATTACGTGTCATTCAAATTTGACAAACTTTTAAGCGACGAAAAGAATATATTAAAATAGTACATATAAACTCTAAAGAACGTTTTATAGCCTTTATAAGAAGTGTAGTGTGTGAGAGACACACTAGATAGCATAAACTCCCTTTTTTAAAACTCCCTCTTTAACTATCATTCTCTCACAGCATAGTTAAACTCTCTTTCACTTTCACTTTCCACACAGCTTTTCTCTCTGCTCCCCCTTCCATGTTTGTCCAAACCCTAGATCTGTCCCCCTCTTAGGTAGTAGTAGTAAGTAATGTACCCAACAATCATTGACTACAATCACACTTTCCCTCTATCTCCCTACATACCGTTATTTATCTGTATCTACCACTGTATTGACGATTCATATCTTCTTGTACATCTTTTCTTGCAGCTTTTTCTAGCTTGAAGTGGCAAGGAGAGGGATAAAGTTGAGTTTTTTCTTGGTTGTTGTTACAGCGAGGTAGGAAGTGGGGTGGGGTGGGGTGGGGTGGGCGGAAATGAGTGGTACTTCGACATCGGTGTCGGGGGGTGGCATAGGGGTGGGTATGGGGTATGGGTACGGTTACCGGCCGCCGTTCACGGCGGTGCAGTGGCAGGAGCTGGAACACCAAGCCATGATTTACAAGTATCTGGTCGCGGGTGTCCCCGTGCCTTCAGACTTGGTTGTCCCCATTCGTAGAAGCTTCGAAGCTTTGTCTTCTCGTCTCTTCCATCATCCCAGCTGTATGTCGCGATCCTCACCTTTTTATCAATCGATATACTTGCATAACTCTCTTATTTGTTTCTCTTGTTATTTGCAGACTGTCTCTAGATTCATTTGGTTGTAGGAATCTGTTTAGCTTAGTAAAAAGAGAATCTTATTGTTTGGAACATACATACATAACTACGAAAGATCATTTTTTTCCACTGGGGAATAACTGATCTTTGTACTGTTACTTATTTTTTTTGAAGTAGTCTTGGTATCCTAGTAGATCAGCTTTCTTGTGTAATTTGCTCAGTCTTTTCACCTAGACAGCTGATTGAGTATTGCAATTTCATCAATCATATACTAAATGACCTTTTTTGTGTGATAGATAGAAAAAATAAAACTTGAGATGAAAGGAAAGTATATTACTAGTAGTTTTTACTTCATCTGTATCATTTAGTGTATGTATACATTCATTTTTTCATGATCCAAGATTGTGTCCTCATTATTATATCTTATGCGTTTGTCTCAATGTTTTGAGTAGTTTTGTACTTGCAATCTAACTATAATGGTCATTCAACTTCAATCTCTGGTTCTCTGTAGTGATAGTTCTAAAGTTCCGGTTGAAGAGATGCCTATATTTAATACTGCCGCTCATGTTTTATGTGGAATGATTGAAAATGACAACTCTGTTTCTTCTTTAGGGGTTTCTAAGTGGGGTTGTACATATGAGCCTCTTAGGGATAACGTATGCCTGTATGGTACAAGCTCTTTTGTGAAGGGTGATTTCTTATAGAAGCACTTAAATTTCTATTTTGATGAAGCACCGATGCGGGCTGTTTCCTTAAGTGCATTAATAAAAGTGTTTCCTTTTTCTACACTTTAAAGTACTACATCCATTAAAGTACATTTCTTTCCCTAATGTAACCGTGTTCATTAAAAAGAAGTCATCTCAAACACTCATACTCTCTTGTGGATGTGATGCTTATACATTGTTTTCATGTCCAGTGGGTTACTGTTCCTATTATGGGAAGAAATTTGATCCGGAGCCAGGAAGGTGCAGAAGGACAGATGGAAAGAAGTGGAGGTGCTCAAAGGATGCATATCCGGACTCCAAATACTGTGAGCGGCACATGCACAGAGGCCGCAACCGTTCAAGAAAGCCTGTGGAATCTCAATCTACTGCTTCCCAGCCATTGTCGACTGCTATGTCACATATCACTTCTGGGAGCAGTAATAGTACAAGTGGAAGTTTTCAAAGTACTGATCGGAGCTTCCATAACATATCCCCATATCCCATTGCCAACTCAGAAGGTTTGTGTTATGGAAGCCCTGCAACTAAGTTGCAGATGGATTGTGCTGTATATGGAAGAGAGAGCAAGGAATTCTGGTCTGTAAATCCCTTCATTCCTTTCTTTTGAGTTTATATTTTATATACAGAATATTTATTACCCCCTCCGTCCCATTTGTTCATCATCTTTCCTTTTTAGACTATAAAAATGTTTGTCTCGTACCAATTGTGGCCATATTTTGTGGTTCACAATTATGCTTACTTTTAGAAGTTTAATATCAAACACACAATCACATTTTTCCTTTACTTGTGCCAAACTAAATGGGACAGAGGTATAGTTTTTATTGTTATTGTTATTATTATATCTGTCCCAAAATAGGGTTATGTGTGAAATACTGGTTTAGTATTTCAAACATAACACTTTTTAGGATGAAGGGAGCATCTCAAAAAGATGGAATGGAACGGTCTTATGTTTTTGTTGAAAACTTGTTCCTCTTTAATGATATTACGAGTCGATTGAATTTTATACAACACACTTTTATCAACTTGCAAAATGTAAAAAGGGAAGTCTGAGAGTTAAAAAACATCAGCTGATCAATGCGGTGAAAGGCTAAGCCCAATCACAGTATATGACTGGACAAGTAATAACATAGGAAAAATAACTTGAAAACCGGATGGTGATCTACAAAATGAAGGAATGCAGTGTTTTTTGTAGTTGGTGTGTTTGATTGAGTGTTTTCTAGCACAGGGCATAATTACCGATTTGGCTATATTAAGAGAGCTTAATTGACAGCTTTCCCTCATAATTACATTTGTGTGCTTTCTTTTTGTTACTGTATGGAATTTTTGGAAATATGGGTATTTGATCAATATCTTAGTAATCTATCTTCATCTCCCAAACAAAACATGGTACTTTTATTGGGACGGATGAAGAAGAGGCTAAATATCAAGCGTGTTTTTTTGATAAAAAAAGTTCATTGAAATAAACTTGCTATATCACCAGGTACTCAGCTGCTAAGCATCACAGGTCTACCGTGCTCAGTTGACTAGGCAATATAAAACAAAAATACATTTTTTTTGCTAAACCACTTGACCTTAACTGTGCTAACATTTTAAAAAATTTGGTACGGTTAGCCGATTAAAGATAATTGGTTATTGGTACAGTTATGGTGTTCAGAATAACCTGCGGTTAATTGGGATTTAGGTTAACCGGAAAGATATACCAAAAAATATGTTTTATAAATAAAAGTTTGTAAGTTATCTGCATAATTGGTGCTCCCTCTGTCCCAAATAAACTTTACACTTTCAATTACTTTCAAGGAAAAAATGTGTGGTATGCGTAGTTCCTTTCAGAAGTGGGAGGGTTGTGATAACATAATACATATATGCCTACTTATTAAAGAGGAGCTCTCCAGCTAGGCCCCAATCAACGAGCTCGTTACCAACCACCAAATGTCCTGATCACACAAAGTAAACTAGGAATGCGATTTATTGTCCTTACTCTCAAGAAGACCAGTACTAGACCACTAGTTCAATGCCATCAGTTTAAGTTATAGTTACTCGCAACTTATTGTGCCTTCTCACCCTGTGTTATTCTGTTTATCCTTGGGTAATTTTGACGAAGTTGCTCCTTTCCTTTAAGTTCAGGAAGGTTAGATCCAAACCTAAAAAGAAGTACAAGGCATTTTAAAAAAAGAGAGTAGTAAATGAAGGAAGAATATTTTGACCTTTATTTTTTCAATAAAAGAGGGGCCTATTTGGATTAATGCTTGGCTTGATAGTTAAAAAGCTTGTAACTATGCAACATTAACCATATGTTTCTGTTTGTACATTCAAAACACAGGTATAACACTGGAATGAATCCCAATGCAAACGAACACAATCTGTCAAGAGAAACATCTGCAGGGAGTCTGGGGATGGGGTCAGGAGTTGATAACAATGCATGGAACTCAGTACCATTCCAAGTATCATCTTCTAGTCCCATGTTGAAACTGAAAAATGATTCTCTGCTGTTGGGTAGTTCGTCACCCCAAATGCATCTGTCTGGTGCTTATGAGCCTTTGATTGATTCTCCCAGGGGGACAGTAAAGCAGGAGCAGCAGTCTGTCCGCCCTTTCTTCAGTGAATGGCCCGCAACCAAGGAATCATGGTCCAATCTTGACAGTGATGGGTCAAACACAACGCAGCTCTCCATGTCCATTCCAATGACCACCCGTGATTTTTCTTCACGAAATGCCAGTTCCTGAATTGTGAGTATTAAGCAATGCTCCTAACACCATCCTATTTTTCATGTGATAATTGACATTGGGTATGTTTGGATCCTGGAAATGATAAACAGTTTTTTCGCAGGCTTGGTTCTACCTTAGGAAATTACAAAATGAATTCTTTTTAAATTCTACATATATTGTACTCCGTATATTTAGAATTCTTAATTTGTATATAGTAGAAATGAACAAATAAATAAAATGAGCACTAGTTAAACCAATAATCCATTCATCCCATAAAAACTTAACTTTCCATTTTTTGCAGTCTCACACTAAACTTCACAATCCTTCTAAGAAGTTTGGTTCAGTCCCCACTAATAGTTTGTGCCACTATGAAAGTTTATCTATCAGAAATTATTTTCCCTTACATTTTATTTCCTTCCAATTGCCTTTAAGGCTTCCTTGTTTTGTTTGCATAGCGGGACCCATAAAGGCTTGAACTTAAGATTTTTGACCTACAACTTCTTTCAATGGATTGCAGATGCTTGAGGTGAAGGAGTCATCAACCAGTTGCATTTTATGTACGGCTGAATTACCACGATTTAACAGCAAAACTTTAATCATTTCTAAGAAATAATAATGCAGAGAGGCTTCTTCATGTTTGCTACCCTAGAATAAATGAATATGTCCCCCCAACTAGCTCTGTACACTTTGGTTTAAGATTCTCAGTTATTGTACTATGGCTCAATTGAGAGGTAGTTGTTGTACTTCGTAGAAGTAATAATGTGTAGCATGTACTATGTAGCATTATGGCCCCATTCTGAGATTTTTACAAGTCAAACAGTAATAAATTTGGCAGCTACAGCCAAAAATTTGGCACAAAGTTTAAGATAGTGGATATTGTGTGGTGGAGAGTTGTGCAGAGGAGAGAGAAATGTGTAAGAAATGTTGTGAACCACAAATTCTTTACCAAAAAGAGAAAGTGGAAGTTTTAATTGGAACGGACGAAAAAGGAAAGTTGGAAGTTTATTTAGGAACGGAGGGAGTATATGCTTTATGGTTAGGGCATTTGAGAATTGAGACCGATTAGCTTTCAAGGATGTTTTTACTTTCTTGGGATGGACTGCGACGGGACTGGGCTTCGCGATGGGATTGGGTGGGCTTCGGGCTTAAGAATTGGGTCGGGACGGGCTTTGGGATGGGATTGTGCATTCAATTAACAAAATAGGGCAATCGAGCCTGGGCCTGGCTGGATTGCGCCCAAAAATTGAGCTCGGAGCCTGCTTTAATAGCCAACCGGGCCGAGCCCCGGGATGGGACCAGGCCTATACGGCTATACAGTAACAGGTTGGATCGGACCTAAATAGTACCGGGCTTGGGTTAGGCCTAGGCTGACCCGTTCCAGTCCATCCCTACTCAAATGAGATTAGTCCAAATTTACACAAACTAGATCAAATTAAAACAAAGCAGATTGTATCAGGCTTGGATAGTTGTAAAATGCATAGATAATTGTAAAATGCATAGAGACTAGACATCTATTTGATCATATTAAATTTTTGATCATACAAAAATTTAGTTTAAATAAAAACATCTTAAATCTAGAAACATAAGAATGAATGGAATAGCCGAATAGAGAAGTCAAGGATTGTTTTCTTTTGTTTCGATTTATCTCGTAAAATACAAAATCAAATGAAAGATCGTTAAATTTAAATTTTTATATGTTTAAATACCTTATTACGAAGTATTTTATAACAAAAAAAATTGAGATTGAATAATTTATTTAGTTTGGATTATATTTTAGCTATTCTCTGCTTTTTTATTTCCCCCCTTAGGGTCCCCAAGCGGCCAAGCCCCTCCCAGTATGCTTAGGGATTGACTCGGGCCGGGTCAACCGGTCCGTAACCGGCCCGATACTGTTTCGGCTCGGCCCGGTTCCCGGGTCCGTGTCCGGTTCAGGCCACCAGGTCCGGTACTGTTTCGGGATGGGCTTCGGGTCTCAAAAACATGAACCGGCCGGGTCGGGCCCGATTCTGACCATTTTTTTTTCAAATTCTTTAAAAGGTAAATGAGTTGGACTGGGTGTTTTGGAGGGGTGGGTGGGGTAGGAAGTAATTAGGAAAAAAAATATAGTGTACCCGAGCCGACCCGGCCAGGACCTGACCCGTACCCGGTAGCTACCCGGGCCGGTTACGGGCCTCAAGAAACAAAAAGAAAGCCCGGGCAGAACTTGCCCGAGGCCCGGACCGACCCGAGTCCAAGCCTAGGTATGCTAGTGCTAGGAAAAGAAAACTTGAGGAAAATAGAGTGGAGTTAGGTGGAAATTTTTTTTGGAGCAAATAAAAGGTTTGATATTTTTAGTAGACTAAAGAAAACAGAGAAGTATAAATATGTACAAATTTGGAAGAATTTTGAGTTTAAATCAAATTTGATTTTTTTGGAACTTTAAAATGAACTATGTATAAAATTTGATGTTTCCTCTGTTACATACTTCCATGCAGGGATGAACTCGACAGGTTCGGATCGGATCGGAACCCGGCCCGGACCGCTACTGTGTGGTACCGGCCCGGCCTGGCCGATCGGGACCGGGCCTTGGATCCGAACCGGCCGACCGGGACCGGGCCTTGGGGTCCGAACCGGCCGATCGGGACCGGGCCTTGGGGCCCGAACCGGGTTTTGCCCAATGAATTAAATCTTTCAGGTAATTGCTAAAATGATTTGAAAATTTAGAATTACGGACGGGAATTGTTTCTATTAACATAAATATGACCCATTGCATTTTTGTGAAGTAACAAAAATGTTGTTTTCTCCGTAGCATCATCATGGATCAGATTAGTGTTGCCGTGGGTAATACTCAATTCACTTATCTTTTGATCCCTTTTGTCCCAAACTAAAAAGACTTTAACTTTTCTTGGTTGTGAGTAACATTCCATTTCAATACTATTCTCGTCCCTTAATTAAAGTCTTGGTTTGACTTCACGCGTATTGGAAATAAATTTACTTAGGAGTAAATTTACTGCTAAGTACATTGTTTCAAGAGTAATTAACACGTAGATATCAGTTTTTTCCACCCTAGAGGGTTCGAATAATAACTAGGGGTGGACATGAAAAACTGTAACCAACTAACCGTGTTAAATAACAGAAAAATCGGAGTTTTTTTGTTAATCATACCGTGTTTTTAAAGACTTGTGGTACGGTTAACCAACCGAAAGAATAAAGCAGTTCACGGTACAGTTAACCAACCGAAAAAATAACGTGTTTTGACACTGTTTGAAACTGTTCTGCACTATTTGATATAAATTTGTGTCTTAAATAAGAAAATGAGTCTTTAATTTAGGGACTTCCCAAAAATGAAAGTGAGACTTTAATTTAGGGATGAAGAGACTATTATTTAATACGGAGAATAATTAATAAAACCCCCGCTATATAACAAAGACCAATATTTTATTTCTTGAATTGTGTCTGATGGCCATGGACACCGACCATGGCCCAATTATACAATCCAGCCCATAACGGGATGCAGACCATTAGCGGGGTTGGCCCTCAAACGAGATTAATGTTAGATAGCCACTGGGCCTGACTAAGGATCAAGCCCACGAGAGGAACCCACAGCCAAGCCAGGCTGGAAAGCAAGCCTCGAGCCTGGGCGGAGTCCTGGTGAGGCTGGGATATTCCTAGAGCTGATGTGGCGCGCTATCATTAGAACGGCAGCTGGCAGGAGTTAATGGCAGGAACGTGGGAATAAAGGAACAATCATTGCACAACGGCCAAGACGTTACAAGAGTCCTATTCGAACTAATGCACAATTAATAGCATTTATTGTATCAGTTTCCTTTTGTAACACTAGTTCCTTAGCCTATAAATACGGCTTGTAAACCTCCTAAAGGGGGATCGAAACATTGATCAATAGAACACTGCCTCACGCTGCCAAATTACCATCTGATCCGGTAGATTTAGCTCTCGTAGTTGGATTAAACTCCATCATTTGGTGCTCTCGTTGAGAGCTCGATCTACGACGAACCATGGTTGGATCCCATAGCCACAACCGTGCGGGCAGCAATTTGGGCAGTAATCGTTTCAAACAGGTGTTAATCGAGGACGAAGGTTCTCGATCGCGCCGGAGTGACTTTCGAAGGCGCAACGACAACGCGGCGGGACAGGAGGATTTGGGGAATCATCTCCAAGGGGTTGGAAGTTCCAGGCAGGCAGCAACACGACCGCCGCAATTTCGGATGCCAGGCACATGGAATCGTATCCCTAATGTTGACCCAGCCCGGGCCATAGCGAGTTTGGCGACGTTCCAAAGGGAAGTGGAGACTCTGACCACTGCCTTTCAGGGCATCATCCCTGATGAGGGTGCGAGGTCCCCTTCCCCTCGCCGGGCTTCGTCTATGCCCCGGCAGGAGGAGGAGAGACGTGAGCACTCTAGGAGGGGCTCGCCGCCATCCCAATATCAACGTTCCCGTCGTTCCAGGCCGACCCCAAGGACCTCAGTGATGGACCGAATCGGAGAACAAAGGGTCTCCGTGCATGACAGGATCTCATCCCGACCTGAGCCGAGTGTGGAGGCATCATCCGCGGCTGTATCGTCCCACCGCCGTAGTGTGTGTGGGGGAGATCTCAGAAACGAGATCAACGCCAACCGGCAGGGCCGCGAGAATCGACGATCCCCACCTCGGCAGCGAGCGGGCCAGGGCAACGACGATCTCAGGAGAAGACTGGATGAGCTCCGGAGGGAGGTGGACGCAAGGATCAACCCCAACCATGACGTAAGGATTCCCGAACCATTCATTCGTCAGATCATGGACGCCCCGCTACCCCAGGGATACAAGCCTTGCAATATAGAGGCCTACCGGGGAAAGACAGACCCACAACACCATGTTTCCAGATATGTGAGATTTATGGTGATGATGGGGTATGAGGATGCCATCAAGTGCAGGGGGTTTTCCGTAACACTCGACGGGCTAGCCCGAGAGTGGTACGATTCCCTGCCCAATGGAAGGATTTGGAGTTTCAGGGAGTTGGCCCATTCTTTTGTGACCCGGTTCGCCAGCTCTAAGGATTCCAAGAAGAATTTTTCTCACCTTTTGGGGATCAAGCAGGGACCCCAAGAAGTCTTAGCTGATTTCTTGATCCGGTGGAGGGACGAATCTGTGAGGATAAACGACCTGTATGACAAGTCCGTTGTCGCTATACTCACCAATGCCCTGAGATTGGGTGAATTGTATAAGGATTTTGTTCGAAATCCTCCAATTTCGCATGAGGAAGCCTTGTAGCGAGCAAACGCGCAAGCCAGAGTGGAAGAAGCTGAGAAGAAAAAGAAGGAAGAAGAGGCTGGGAAATGCCAGTATGAGGGCGAGAGGAAGAAATCCCTTGAAAAGGAAACCCTTGATTCTGACAAGGGGAATGGGACCAAGAAGAAGAAGAAGGGCTGGGGAAAGGGCAAATCAGGTGTTCCTGAGGGGCCACTAGCCAGCCAACCAAATTTCTCTCCTTCCGCGCATCACGTGAGTACTGTCCTGGATTACGCTGCAAAGTAGGGATTGATCGCCACCCCTGAGGGGTGCAACATCATCCACAATCACAACCCCAAGAACAAATACTACAAAATCCACAAGAGTGACTCTCATCAGACCGACGATTGTTACATTTTAAAGAAGTACGTGGAAAGGCTCGTACGGGAGGGTCAGCTAGAGCAGTTTGTGAAGCAAGCTCAGCAAGGACATCTTCCACCGAAGAAACATACCTGGAATAGGGAAAAGGACGCGCCGACCTCATCCTCCAAGAAAAGGGAGGTCGGGGCCCAATTTGAAGATAACAATGAAGGGGAAGATTCCGGTAGACAGAAATGACCACACGTCAAGCAGATCTACGACGGACCTGTGGGAGGAGACACAGTGGGGGAGAGGAAGAAGTGGAACCGCCAGCTGT